TCCTAAAGAGGAAGGGATATGACTGTTTTAGCTACTCCAGTGCTTCAGATTTATATAGGATTGAAAGAACTGGTGATATTTTTCCTGTGGAGAGTAAAATGCCATGTTCACTGAGGGAAAACCTTGTGCCCTGGAGACCAAGAATCAAACCAAGGTTATCCTTTACATCCAGGGATGGCAATGTAGGATCTTTTCCTTTGGTCATTGTGTATGATATTATGCATGTTATTATCCATGTTATGAGGAAGGCCTTGAGACGGCATTAGGGAGCCAGCGTGCCCGAGAATAGCAGGTTTTTCATTTTAAATTGTTGGAGTGAATGAGTACATAGTGTGCTGTATTTTGTATCATTATCAGTGATTTTTTTCCGTTACTGTCAATGAAAAAAGATGGGTTTCCATAAAAATTGCAATATTTCATGAAGAGCTTTGACTTTGCATTGAATGTGAGCTTGGACTTACCCCGTGCTGGAATCAGAAGGCTGCTGTTTTGGTCCCCAATCAGCTTCTAAGTAACTTTGGTGGGGCACGTGATTTTTATTTCTCTGGGTTTCAAGTATTGTAACCTTTAACATGAGGGTTGGACTATTAATCTCTAGTCATATCTTGCTCTGACACTCCACTCTTCATACTGTGGTGGTATTTTCCCCCAATTTCAGTAAAAACCATAACACTATTACTGGTATTCAAAGTTTTGATGGCATAAAATGTGGCATTGCATTATTATGTTGATGAAATGAGATCAGTGGCCTGGTGGAAACTAGGAGGCAATCACCCATCACAATACAGATGCTCTTGAACTTAACCCAGTAGTCGAAAAGTTAGAAAAAAGTTACAAATGCATTTAATACATCCAACCTACAGAACATAGCTTAGCCTGGCTTACCTGAAATGTGCTTAGAACACTTACATTAGCCTATAGTTGGGCAAAATCATAACACAAACTCTGTTTTATAATAAAGTATTGAGTATCTTATGTGAGTTATTTAATGCTGTGCTGGAAGTGAAAAGCAGAATAACTAAGGATAGTTGAAGTACTGTTTCTATTGAATGTGGATGGCATTCACTTGCATCATGAAGTCAAAAAATCATAAGTCGAGCCATCCTAAGTTGGGGACCATCTGCATATTCAAATTTATGTTATTGTGGGGTTTTCTATACTTGGTCAAGAGCAGAGTGACTACAACCCTACCAAAGAATGTAACCTTATTGTGTAATTAGGGTGAGCACTCTTATGATCTGCATCTCCCCATCTCCATTTTTCTATTTGGGTTTTAATGTGTTTTCCATTAATCTTAAGTTTACTAATCCTGTCTTTTGCTATGTCCCATCTACTATTAAACTCATCCAGTGAATTAATTTGAGATACTGCATTTTTCTTCATTTGTTTTATTTTTAGAATGTCCATTTGATTCTTTTAAAAAATAGTTTCTAGTTCTCTGTTGAAATTCACCATCTTTTCATCAGTTTCCTCCCTTTTCTCTTAACTAATTAATCGTAGTTATTTTAAACATGTTGTTTGATAAATTTAACATCTGGATTATCTGTGAGCCTTATCTTTCTCTTGAATTTTGCTTACATTTTCTTGCAGTTCTCATGTCTAATAACATTTTATTCTGGACATTGTGTCTAAAAGAACCTTATTGGCTTGAGATTATATTTTTCTCCAGAGAAGAATTCCTCTCTTTACTCTGTTAGGTAAATATAGTGAGGGGCTGATCACCCTCACTCATTGAGAATTGAGCTAAGCCATGGCCAGATTGTAGTTTTAGAGGGATTCAATCCACCTATGGTTGGTTGTCCATGCTCCTTGGGCATGGCTCTCCTGGAATTTTGATCGAAAGCCTGGTGAAAATCCTTTCTTTTGGCAAATATCCTTAGTTAGGAGCCCAAGAGATCCCCAGAGGCTCTGAGGGAAGGAAAGCAGATTATTAGCTCACCTTAGAAGAGATCCTTTCCTCTGGCATTCTTGTCTTTGAGTCCCTTATAGTCTAATGGAAGCCTCATCCTTTTTTTCTACATAAAACATGTAAGATGGGACCTGCAATTTGTCATTTGCATGTCCTCCTCTATTTTCACGGTGTCTTCTGTTTAAACGTTAAACATTTTCAGCTTCATGATAAAAAGTAATTTGGTAGTAAGCACCTGCTGACTCATTACAGTATTTCCAAAGGAGGAAAATGGGAATACATAGACAATATGGTCCTCTTCAAAATATTTTCATTGCATTTGTTCAGTTTTTCAATTTTAATTTGTCTAGAAAACACTTTGTAGGTAGAAAATGGTAAGCTTTCAGTTGGTTTAAAGCTCCCTCAGATGGACTCCTTATTGGACACATTTACTTCTCTTTTGTAGTAAAATGAACCATGACTGTCATTACAAACCCTCCCATTTGGGAAGTGAATTTGCTCCAGAGAATTCTAGTACCACTAATAGGCAGTGTCCATATGGTTCACACATGTAGTAAAAACAAGAGAATGGGCCCCTTGAATTATTTAAATTTGAACCATTTCATCTTTAAGGAGCCATTCTGTTGCTAATTTTGTTTGAAGCTGTGTAAGATGTGGCCAGTGCTAAGAGCCCCAGGGCTGGCAGAGGCCCTGAGTTTTCTAGCATTAGCTCTGCTTCCATTTGTCCCTGGGAAGGCCTCTGTTTTGTTTCCTCATCCTGAGAAGGACACTGAAATAGTTGAATCTTAATCCTTTCCATCTCTGCCCTTTGGATTCCGATCAGTCATTTATTATTTGGAAATTAAGGTTTTTGTATATGTATTTCAATAAACTATATTGCCAGGATCAGTTAAAAGAAGAAAATTTTGCAAAACAAGGAGCTGTGTGTAAGAGTGCTAAACAGCATGGACACAAATAAAAAAGAAACAGTGATTTGGAGTCCTGAGAACCTAGATTCAAGTCCCCAGGTTTGTCATTCATTTGCTTTGGTGCCTTGGGCAAATCATGAATCTCTAAGCCTCAGTTTCCTTAACTGGAAAAATGGATAGAATAATACAGTAGCTTTACATATCTCACAGGGCTGTCTGAGGATCACATAAAACTCTCTATAGCTCTTTACTATTTATAATAACATCCATTATCATTAGGACTAATGCAGCCCTTGTCAGCAGTAACCATCTGTTTGTTGTGGCTGTCACTATCAAAAGATGTAAAAATGTCCCAAGGGTATTTAAATTATATACACCTTGAGTTTTGTTCTCTCCTCACTTCTGTTTTTTGTTTTTGGTAGGTAAACTGACACTGTGTTCAACATATAAGCTCTGTCCTTGAAGCCATTGAAATGTAGAGCTTGAAGGGACAGTGTGATCATCTTATCAAATCCCCATATTTTAAAGATATAGCTTAGGAAGTTTTACTGACTTACCTAGGGTAACAGTTGGTTCAAAGTAAAGCCACAACTGAGACTACTGTTCTTTGTTTAAACCCTGGTTTGTGCAATTACTTCTACAATTTTGATAAAGGTCTTTGCTTTCAAACATTGGGATTTTCCACTTCCCTTCTCCTTAACTTCACTGACTTTTTTTACTTCTTTCCTACTTCACAGCCCTCCTTCCTATTTTGATGGTGGTACCTCTTACCTACTCCAGAGAAGAGGGCTCTCCATGGCCTACCCAAAGCCAACCCCCACCTGTGCTCTTGACTCTGACCCATTTTGCCTCTTTCAGAACTTATTCTAGCAGTTATCCTGTCCATGTCCTATATTGTCTTGTGCTCCATTTCTGCTGGTTCTTCTCCTTGGCCTATGAATGTGTCCAAGCTTGTAGAATTTTTTACTTCATCCTACATACTGCTTCTTTTCAATGCTTGAGTACTGAAAAGAGAAACTCCTAAACAGACTAGGTTTTTTAACTGACTTATTCCTTATACACAGTGACTGGTGCTTGGTGGTGGCAGCTCAGAAAAGTTCCCTCCCTCCCGCTTCTCCCATTCTCTCTCATTCCCTGCCTGTTTGTCCTTCACCTAGCTCTTGTCCCCCTTCTTTTCCCCTTCTGTTCCCTGCCTCTCTCTTGTCTGCCCCCTCCCCCAGTTTGTTAACAATTTGTTGCAGTTTGTTTTCTGGCCTCTCTTAGGGACACTGATTTGGCCTTGTTCATCAGTGACATCATGGTGAATGCCAGGGGCTTATTCTCAGTGGAATCTGCTTGTCTTCAACTTGATGCCCTGTTTCTGGACAATTTTTCTTCTTTTAGCCTTTATGATCCCTTCTCAGGATCTAGGCTGGATTCTACCTCTCCTTCTAGTTTCTTAAATGATGTTCTCTAGTAGAATTCTGCAGTAACCCATAGTTCCTTACTCTGCCTCAGTCTGTGCTCACCAGCGCTGAGGGCTGTTTCCTCATAACCCTTGACACCATGCTGAGCCTTATGCCTTCAGCCCCTTACTCCTCTATTATTCCATAAACGTTCTGCTGGAACACCCCTCTTCAGGAAAGCCTTTGCCAGCAACCTCAGTTGAAGAAGCTCCACAGAACTTCAAAGGTCCCTCTACTAGCCCTGATTTCAATGTTATTGGGATTCCATTTTGTACCTTCTGCTTCATCCCTTCTTCTAGTGAGTGAGTACCTTATGGGCAGAGACTGTCTGCTTCATTTCCATGGGACTTGGCCCTCAGTCAGCACTGAATAAATGAGGGAGAGCATTCATTCATTTATTCGAGTACATTTCCTATAGATAAGTATGTTTCTACTTTAAGAGGCTATTGATCTGCCACAGGGAAGGTCATAGTATAAGATCAGGAAAGAAGAGTTCATAGTGTATTTTGTTGGTTTCAGCCAGGTTATTAAATATTGAGCTTTATTATTTTTTGAGACAGTCTCACTCTGATGGCCTGGGTTAGAGTGCCATGGTGTCATCATAGCTCACTTCAACCTCAAACTTCTGGGCTCAAGCCATCCTCCTGTCTCATCCTCACAAGAAGCTGGGACTACAGGCTGCGAAACCATGCCTGACTAATTTTTCTTTCTTTCTTTTTTTTTTTTTTTTTTTTGCAGAGACAGGGTTTGCTTTTGTTCAGGCGCACACCAATACCTCGTCTCAAGTGAACTCCTGACCTCAAGCAATCCTCCCCACCTCAGCCTCCCAAAGTGCTGGGATTATAGGTATGAGCCACTGTGCACAGCCAATATTGAATTATTTTATAGGAAGTACCACAGTGTGATAGGTAGAATAATGGCCCTCTGCTACGATTTGGATGTGGTTTGTCCCCACCAAAGTTGCTATTAAAATTTGATCTTCAGTGTGGCAGGGAGGTGGGGCCTAGTGGGAAGTGTTTGGGTCATGGCTGAGGGCCTCTCGTGAATGGTTTGGTGCTGTTCTCACAGTAGTAAGTTTTTGCTCTTGTGAGACTTGATTACTTCTCCCGGGAATGGATTAGTTCTCGCGGGAGTGGGTTGCACAGCCAGGACTCTACTCAGGTTTTCCCTGCTTTGCCAAGTTTTCCCTTCTGTTTTGACTTTCTCCGCCATGTTGTGACACAGCACCAAAGTCCTCACCAGGAGCCAGGGCAATGCCATTGAATTTCTCAGCATATGAACCTCTTCTTTATAAATTATCCAGCCTTAGGTATTCTTTTGTAGCAACACAAAATAGGCTAAGACAGTCTCCAAAGATGTCTGTACTATCCTAATCCTTGGAATCTGTGAACATGTTAATATGCTAAGAGGGGATTAAGGTTTGCAAATGGAATTAAGATTGCCACTCAGCTGATTTTAAAATAGTTTATCCTGGATTATCCAGGTGAATCACGAGGGTCCTTAAAAGTGGTCTTTGCTGTAGAATTTTCTTAGAGCTGAGTCCATGGACTGCTGAGGGTCTTAAATTGCCTTGAATATTATATTCGGTTAGTGCTTCATCGATGAATTCCTTTCTCTAATAGATAAAATTATATCAGTTTTCTGTGGTATTATCTGTAATGAAAGAAAGGTATCTTTATTGGATGTTTATGAGTTAGGTGCTTTAATGTATTACCTTATTTGATGTGCTTAAATAGCTGAAGAAGTAGATAGTATTAAATTCTTCATGGAAGAGGAAACAGGTCCAGAGTGGTTAACTTAAACAGGGTCATGTTGCTCAGAAGTGATGACCCTAAGATTTTATTGCATATATAGAGCAAAGTTCTGAGTTGTGGCATTTTCACTTTTGCAAGCATGCTCATGGTTCATACTGTCTCATGCTGTATTTTGAAAAGTCTTGCTTTGAATTTTGAAAGAAGATAGATAAATTTGTATACTATTGAAGCAATATGACACTAACACTTCTGGTTAATTTTTGTCCTCTTCTCTAATTTCAACAGAATCTTGGAATATTTTTTGGTATATATTTCCTTTCAGTCTTTTTCCCCCTGTGCATATGTATGTTGCAGTTTCCCATAGCTGTTATTATAGTCATATTATATTTCTCATTTTACATTATGTATTTTTTCATGTTATTGTGTATCTTTGTGTAATTAATATCTTTAATAGACAATAGGTTATTTCTAAGATTTCTTTTTTATTATTAAAAGTAATACTGAAAGAAGAGTTTCCTATATGGGGATGTGCCTTTTAGCAGAGACCAGGAAGAGGGCCTGATCCAACCATGCAACTCAGTTAAAACTTCTGCTTAAGAGGTGGTTGGTGTCTTATTTGCTCACATTTCATTAGTCAAAGTGAGTTACAGGGCCAAATCCTGAAAATGGGAAGGGGTGCATAATCCTATTACAGGGAGGGAGAAATAGTTGGGAATAATAATCCCATCTACCACCTGAAGGGGAATGAAATGATCAGAAATAGAACATAAAAATACAAATAAATGAAAGTAGCAGATATAAACAGGCTGGTAACTTTTGTATCCAGTTTGGTGCCTCCTCTGTGAAATGGAAGGATTAAAAGAAAAGATGTTTGGAAAGCATCATGCACATTGCATTATATTATGAGTAATATTAATAAATAGGCTGCCAGAAAATGCTAGTTCCCTCTGAAGATATAATTTTGCCATGGTACTGAAAGTGCTAGTTTGGTGTAGCTGTTTGGATGGAACTTGACTTTTCTTAGGTTTTTAACATAAAGATATACAATTCTGTGGATTCTTTAGTAATCATTAAGGAAAAAATTGGGTGAATTTGTGGATTAGTCCTTTTAAATCCTTTAAAAAAGTTCATAGTTATTGGGGAGCTAATTTAAAATTCCTGACCCCACATCCCAAGGTGATGGTGTAAGGCAGGGGTCCTCAAACTTTTTAAATAGGGGGCCAGTTCACTGTCCCTCAGACCATTGGAGGGCCGGACTATAGTTTAAAAAAACTGAACAAATTCCTATGCACGCTGCACATACCTTGTTTTGAAGTAAAAAAACAAACAGGCAAAAACACTCGCATGTGGCCCACGGGCCGTAGTTTGAGAACGCCTGGTGTGAGAGAAGGAATCAAAATTTTAACAGATATACCAGGTGAATGTTACATGTTCTTTGCTACTTAAAGGCTGGTGCAAGGACTATCAGTATCCAAATCACCTGGGACCTTGTTAGAAATGCAGCATTTTGGGACCCATCTCAGAGCTACTGAATTCGATTCTGCATTTTAACAATATATTCAGGAGATTCAGATGTATGTTAAAACGTGAACAGCACTGATGTGGGCGGTTCTTAGGAAACTTTTGGAGAAATGTTTTAAAAGAAAAGAAATTCAAAAATTTCTTTTTGAATTATTTGCCTTTTAATTTGACCATAATGAATAAGTTAATAATTAAAGTTTGAAAAAGGGTTTTTAGTGTAATAAAGTATTGAAAATTAGGCGTAGTTAAAATGGAGTCTGCTATAGGTTCAGTGTGTGTCCCCTTCAAAACTCATGTTGTAACTCAATCCCCAATGGGGTAATATTGAGAAGTGGTGGCTTTAAGAGGTGATTGGAGGATTAATTCATTCATGGATTAGTGGATTAATGAGTTAGTGGTTTAATGGCTAGTGAACTGATGGGCTATCATCAGAGTGGAACTGGTAGATTTATAAGAAGAGGAAAGAAGACCTGATCTAGCACTCTCAGGCCTCTGGCCATGTGATGCCATGTACCACCTTGAGACTCTAAATTTAGAGTCCCCACCAGCTAGAAGACCATCACCAGATGCAACCCTTTGACCTTTTTGTATCTCAATCCCCCACCTAACTTTGAGTTTCCTTCCGTAGGTGTTAATCCATAACTCACCTGTGAATTAGTCAACAAACAGGAGAACCTTAAGCAAATAGTCACATCCCTTGTCTTAATTTCCACATAATTTATTTCTAGATACAATATGTCAATAAAGCATAGCAGTCCACCAATATTCCATTGATTCAAATAGCTATGATAGTAACAGCTGAGTTCTTACCTAAAGCTAGAACATTCTCAATCTGAATAAAGATTCCTTACAGCTACTGTCAGATAAAAATATAGAAGTACTAAATAATTGTTCACTACATGCAAGGAGTTAATGTTGTTAGCTTCAAAATACAGTAATAATGAACAAAATAATGAACCAGTTTATTTTGCTATAGCTTTCACTAGTCTGCCTGGATGAGGATAAAGATGTATTACTCATAAGAATTGACAGATCTGGGATAGATTAGCCACAAATAGCACTTTAGAGGTGTTTGAAACTATGGTATTCAGCTAAATGTTCCCATAGTTTTAAGATATATTCAGGATATAAGATGTATCCTGAATGTTGTAAAGGATCTTAGTGGTATGAGCAGCTTGCAGTAGGGATTTGTGTGTGGTTGTTATATGAAAAATAAAACAAAACATAGACTGAATGAGTGGGAAATGATATTAGGATGGAAAAATAATGCTATAGTAACAACTTATTTTCTATAGGAGAAATTTGAAAAATAAAAAAATTCTTAGAACTTGGGTAGAAATAAATTTTGTACAACATGGAGAATGCAGAACAAAAAAAATCATGCTTCTGATACTGCTTTTTTATTAAGAATACTTTATGAAATCGACTAATTTAAAATGTACTTTTTAAGTGACTTCCTAATGTACTGTTTGGATAGAGATACAAGAGAAATTGTAAAGCCCTAAGAGAAAGCAATGTCATTCCATTCCTTATCTTCACTTGACAATTCCCAAATATGTTCTTCAGATGAAATAACAGTGTTCTAGAGAAGTTAATTGTATGTCTTCCTTAATTCAGTTATATCAAATACCTCATAATCATGAAATTCTTTAAATACAGCCTCAATTTTTTTGAGTTGCCGTTTACTCAACTTTCTCTTTTTAGGAGGATAGAAAAAGGGCCACATAATTATTAAAGCCATCTTTTGATTATGAAGTACTGAAAATTATGTTTCTTTACCATCTTCTGATGTGGTAGTCTCAATCCTAACTGCACAGTAGAATCACCTGGAGATTTTTTTTTTAAACAAAATATAGATATCTGTGCTCCATCTTGAATTTCTGATTCAGGTGATCCAAGGTGGAGTGTGGGCATTTGTATGTATACAAAGAAACACAGGGCAAGAATGGTTAAATATTATGTATTGAATTTACAGTTGTGACTTTATTTATTGTGATATTTAAACTTGGCAAGATAAATGAATAAATGCCTATTGGTGCATCTCTGTGCCTACAGTATTGTAACTTGTTCGGAAATGGTAGCTTACACCTTATAAGAAAGTGATCTGAGTCATGCGTAATGGCATGCTAGGTGATCTTACAGACGTATTAATTGAGCTTTATTTTTTTCTCCATCAGCTTTCAAATTCTTAATGAGTTTTCCATTTGGATTTAAAAGAGATGTGTCTCTTGCTATGAAACTTACCCTTGTCATGGTGCTAGAAAATTAAAAAAGATGAAACAAGATCAAGGTGAGGTAGTAAGTTGATCATTCTGCAGCCCTGCTTGTGAAAAACCACTCTTAGAAATACTGTAGTTCTTTCAAGTCTTCTTACCAATTGGCTAGTTCCAGAGATCCAAACCATCTACTCTGTCAGCATCTCTTTCTGGTATTCAGGCTGTGGACAGGATGTCTTAAACGGAGTTGAGTCTGTGTTAGAATGACCTGAAAATTCCACAAACCAGTAGGTAAAGTTGTAATCTGTTAGTCTGTGGGGTTTTATGGAGTAACCCAGTTTTCCATTTAGACTTAATTAGCAACAACCTTAAGTTTGTTATTGTCTTGATTTACTGTTTGTTATATTAATACTTCCCTCTCCTTTATTTTCACCTTTAGAATGCCCTGCAATATTGTGCTTTTAATGGAGGTAGAAAGGTGGTTGAAAGCATCTGGTAACCGGAGTTCTCTCTTCTTTCTAATTTTGGGGAAATGAGTCTATTTCTAGGAGCTGTGGGCTCTTCACTTCTAAAATGAAGGATTGGACTAGATGATTTTTCAGCTTGAGTCATTCATTCTTTAACAAAAATTTTAGCTGAAAACCAGTAAATGGTGATATTGCATACTTGATTTGATAGCTGAGTGTTTCTAAGTACATCCATCCAGGCCAAAGATAGACTTTTGGGGAGCCATCAGTGCATAGATCCTATTCAAAATCATGACGTTGAACGAGGTCACCTAGAAAGGGAGTGGTCTGAGAACTTGAGTCCTGGGGACACACCGTATTGTTGATAGTAAAGGAGCATAGAAAGAACAAATAAGAGACTGAGCAGCTGTGTTCAGGAAGGTAGGAGGAGCAACAAGAGAACTAAGTGACTTGAGAGTCAACTCTGAAAAATATTTCAAGGAGAAATGTGTTCAGTTGTGTCAAATGTGGCTGATAGTTTGTGTAAGATAAGGTCTGAAAGTTTGCTATTGGCTGTAGGAAGGTGGAGGTAATGGGAGACCTCGAAGCACTTGTTTTGGTGAAGGAATAGCAGGAAAGGGACATCCTTTATTGGAGTGAGTTCAAGAGAGTGGGGAGGTGGAGGGGAATTTGAGCAAGTATAGCAACTCTCTTGAAGGAGATTTGCTGCAGATCAGAACAGAGAAATGGAGCAGTAGCTAGAAGAGGGCATTAGGTCAAGGTTTTAGTTTTTAGTGTGGGAGAAATTGAGTAATTATGATTATATGCTAAGAGTGATACATAGAGATATTTATGAGACAGGAGATGCAGGGCACAGTTGCAGAACTGATAGCTTTGAAGAGGCAAGAAAGATTCTAGTACGTTGAGTGGGTTGGCTTTAGCTAGGAGTACAGTATATTTGTAGCAGAGAACATAGAGTATGTGAGCACTTTGGAAGTCATTAACACTGATCTCAGATATGTTCAGCTCTCTACCTTCTGGGCACACTGTAGCATCGTTGTTCCTAGACTCTTATGGCTTGATGGAGTTACGTAACCAGTCATGGTCAGTGAGTTGTGTTAAGTGACATGCATCATTTGTGTGCTATAGCATTTGTCAGTGAACGTATTCAAAAGTTAATTTCACCTGTGCCATGGTGAGTGGCGATCTTCCATAATCTGGCTGATCATCAGCCTGCATCCCTGAGAAAGGACAACATAGAGTGGAGCCCCCAGCTGATCTTGGTAGGCTTTTTAGTGTCCTTTTGTTGTTAAGCCACTGAGTTGTGGTGGTGATAGAGTGTAAGCTGGCCTATCCTGAGTGATAAAGGCACTGATACAGATAGGAGGACAGATGTGATAGGGGTTGTTTATGGCAAGTCTGTTCTGATTGTGTCTGGAATTTCAGTGAAACAGCATGGTAAGCCATCAAGCTGAGAGTGAGGCTGGGAGGAGACATGCATTGGACATGTGAGGAGAAAGCAATGGGTATGAAATAGTCATTGGGGAGAGTCTGAGAGTAACTGGGCCAGTGAAATATGTCATGATTTTTACACAGCACTTGGGGCCAATTTGTGGTTTGGTGCCCATGAATATAAGGTGAGTAGTTGGTATGGGATATGTTTTTCTTCCATCACCGTGGACAGAGTGGGTGCCAACATGGTGTTGACATAAAACTGGGTTGAAGCAGGGACTGAGTCTCACCAGGCAAGAATGACGGGAGTGAGTGGAGAGGGAATTGAATATACATATGAGTGATTATTTAGCATATTCTTTTAGGGTATCCTTTTAATCAGCCTCAAACATATTCTTAGGGTAGTTGACATGAGGACTGAGAGATGTAAAAAAAGTCAAGCTGGTGTCATGTAGTGTGTGGTTTAAAGTTTTCATAGAACTTTTGCACATGGAAGAATAAGACAGGGCAGATGGTAAGTAGGGTTGGCCATAAAACAGCACAGCCCTTCTTTTTTCAGGATAAGGAGAAAGCCTTTTTCATGCTCATGTTTATCCCATGTCTCTCGTGAAGTCTC